AAAAGAAAGAAAAACTAATAATACCAAGAGTTGGTAAGAATGCACAGCAACCAGAATTCTCCTGCATTGCTGATGGGAATGCAAAATGATGCTGACACTTGGAAAAATAGTAGGGCCATTTCTTATAAAGTCAAACATGCCCCTTCAGACATAACAATCCCACATATTCATTTTACCCAAGTGAAACAAAAACGTATGTTCACACAAAAACCTGTATGCAAATATTTACAGCCGTTTCCATCATCTTTGCCAAAAACCGGAATCACCTCAAATGTTCTTCAACTGGGAAATGGATAAACAAACTGTGGGACAGCCATACAATGATATACTGCCCAGCAATTTTAAAAAGAACTGATACAAACAATAACATAAATGAAGCCAGGCACGGTGGCTCACACCTGTCATCCCAGCACCTTGGGAGGCCAAGGCAGGTGGTTCAATTGAGGTCAGAAGTTTGAGATCACCCTTGCCAACATGGTGAAACTCCATCTCTACTAAAAATACAAAAATTAGCCAGGTGTGGTGGTGAGTGCCTGTAGTCCCAGATACTCAGGAGGCTGAGGCGGGAGAATTGCTTGAAACCCTGGAGGCAGAGATTGCAGTGAGCCAAGATCGCACCACTGCACTCCAGCCTGGTGACAGAGTGAGACTCTGTCTAAAAAAAACTAAAAATAACATAAATGAATCTCAAATGCATTATGCCAGCAGTCCCCACTCTTTTTGGCACAAAGGACTGGTTTCATGGAAGACAATTTTTCCACAGAGGAGAGGTTGGGGGTAAGAGGCAGTGGGATGGTTTCGGGATGATTCAAGCACATTATATTTATTGTGCATTTTATTTCTATTATTATTACACTGTAATATGTAATGAAATAATTATGCAAGTCACCATAATGTAGAATCAGCGGGAGGGAGCCCTGAGCTTGTTTTCTTGCAACTAGACAGTCCCATCTGGGGGTGATGAGAGACGGTGACAGATCATCAGCTGGAGTTCAGGTTGGCTGATTCATCCCCTTCCCCTGTGTGCATGAGACAGGCAGGGCAGAAGAGGCACACACACCGCCTTTTCTTCTGCATTCCTGCAAAGTGGATTCTGAAGGTCCAGCTGATCCAGTTGAGCAGCTCCGCTAGGGAAGGGCTTCAGAAGAGCTGCTGGTAGATTTGGGGTTGCGATAAGAGGTCATGCATCTACAAAGAGCAGTGGTCACTGAGTGGGTGGCTGAGTGTCTTCCCACAGACCCAGAACCGATAGCATGTCAGAGGGTCATGGCAGGCTGGCAGGGACCCACTGATTCAGGTGAAAGCCCTGTGTGTGTTTGATGATTCAGCCTTGCCAGTCCTCAGCCATGATCACAAGGAAGCATGTGAGGTCCCCATGCCTCTTGTGGTCCCCAGAAGGTAGGTTCTGGCTGCTTATGGTGAGCACTTTCAGGCACTGCAAGGGATGCAGGAATGGTCAAGCGTGAAGGCATTGCGCCTCCTAGAGTGTGGCCCTCTGCCCCACTGAAGAGCCTCTTCCTTGCTCCTCCAGAGAGTCCCACCTTCCACTCATAGATCTGGGACTTCAGGGAACACCATGGCTGCTCCTGGCTCCCTGGAAGGATGTGCTCAGGTGGTGTGCCTCTGAGAGGGTTCATCTTCAAGCCCTTCTGAAGGCCCCACGGCCACTGGTCTTCACAAGAAAAGGACATCCAGGGCCAGTTGTCTCTCTTCCCAAATGTGGTCCTGGTCTGGGTGCCTCCCCAGACCCCTCCAGTGGGAAGGCCTATTTCTCGCCCCCCTCACCAGTTCCTGGCTCCCATGCCCTTTGCACTTCTGCACAATTCCCAGCCCCAGTGCCTCATGCACCTCCCAGGTCAGCCCCAGTGAAAATGCTCAGGAAGGACAGTGGGCTACCCTCAGCCCTGTTGGAGGCATTGGATAGGTCCGGGTCTGTGCTCTTGAGCAGGTTTCTGCCCTGGTTCACACGTATGAGGCCTCACACACTGTTTAGGGCTCTGTCGGGGGCAGGTTCCCAGGGCCCTGCGTTCTGGAACAACTCCACTAGCACAGAGCAGAGTGTTATCATGCAGTGGTTTAATTGTGCAGCTGTGTTATCATGCGTGATCAAATTTTCAGCTTTACACTTTCATTTTCAAATTCCACTCTGAACACTAGAATTCTGGTACACACACACACACACACACATCTGCCTGCTGGCTAGCAGGGATCCTTGTTGGCAAAGAACCTTCTCCCAAATGTCTCTAGAGGACACCCAGGCATTGGGGTGGCTGGCAAGACCACCTCCTCTGTGTGGGCCCCTGTCTCAGGTGGGCAAGGCCATCAGAGCTTCAGGGCTTTCACAAGCTCGCCCTGCTCTCCTGGGGCAGCCCTCATGCAGGGGTGGCCTGAGGACTTCCCAGTGTCCCCAACTTGAACACTGCACCTCCGTGTGTTTCATGGGATTTTGAATGGCAGATATTTAGAGGGAGGAGAGAGGTTCTATGATCACTGAATAGGCATTTTCCTTAGAAGATACACAATTTGCCAATTGGCTCAGTTTCATTGGTTGGTAAAAAAAAAATACAAGTCAAACAACAAGTAATACTAATTAACTGACACCCACTTGAATGGCTATAGCAAAGGTACAGTGACAAATGTTAGAAAAGAAGTGAGGAATGTGGAACTCACATATGCTGGAAATGGGAGTGTAAAACATTGTAGCCACCTTGAAAACAAAACAGAACTAAACAAAACAAAAATGGGGCTATCCCTCAAAATGTTGCACATAAAATCACTAGAGGACACAGAAACTCTAACCCAAAGTTAGTATGCGAAAGAAATAAAATTCCTATCATCATAAAGACTCTTACATGAATGCTCACAACGTGTGGTCTTGTCCATGCAATAGAACACTACTTGCCATCCAAGAGGAATGATGTAATGATACACGCTACCACAGAAGTGAAACCCGAAATCATTAGGCTGAGTGAAAGAACCAGACCCAAAAGGCCACATAATTCACGATCCTGGGTAGTAGACATTTTTATAATAGGCTCATGTATAGAGACATAAAATTGATTGTTGTCTAGATCTGACATGGCAAAGGAGAGTGAATGCAAAGTAGACCCCCGGAAAGCATTTTAAAAATAAACATATCAACATACACTAAGGTACTTTCGACTTTCAGAAACCCAAGTCACACATTGTAAAAATGAAATATATTTCTGGTCCAGTTCAGAGCATAATAAAGAAAAGGGAGGCAGCAAGCTAACCAGCACGTGTTTGGTTACTGACCTAGGGGTATTAATGGGCAGGAACCACGTGATTCATTTAACCAGGTCAGAAAAGCAAAGGAAATGATTTTAATTTGTTGAAGACTGCTGTGACTCACAGAGTGTTAGGAATGTGACGCTGTACTCGCAGGGTTGGGCATATCCCTTATCAAGCACAGCTCAAAAGAGCCATCGCACAGGGAGGTCAGCAAGACCCTCCTGATCCCAGTTGCCTGGAGCTTTACAGTTGCCTATCCCAGCCCTAAAACTACATTCAGTCACTCATTCTAAACCCAAAGTAACAATGAAATCCAATACAAACCCCATATTTCATGACTACCACAGTCAATAATTTGCTTTTTTTTTTCTTTTCTTTTTCCCCAGCCCTCCTCATTACTTCTGTTTGTATCCCTACCTGGCGTGGCTGGTTCCGGAACAAGACTCTGTGTCAGAAATAAAAAGAATCTCAAAATCTCAGGCTGTGGGTCTGCGTTTGGTGCCAGCACAGGAGCTATGGGGTGGACTTGGTGCTCACAGGGTGCCGATGGCCCCTGACAGTCCTTGGAGCCTAGATGTCACCCTGCACCAGGCCGCGGTCCCCTCAGCGCCAGCTTAGGGGGTCAGATTTCAATGAACCCTGCGTCTGGCAGAGAAGGAGCAGGGGAAACGCCGGGCCCACCCTCAGACTTGCACATCGCCAAGAAAACCCAATTCCAATTCCACAATAAAAGGATGCAGAGGTGCATAGCTCCACCTGTTCCTGCTGCCGGCTTTCAAGGGGTGGCCCATCTATTCCCCAGGGCTCAAGGAGCTTCCCCGCCCAGGAGCCCCAGGACTCCCTGAAGGGAGTTTGCCCAGCGCCAACCAGGCATAGGGGAGGAAGAAGCCAGTTTCATTTCCTTGCTCCAGGACCCAAAAAGGTCTGACCCTGGAAAACACCCCACCTGGGGTACCGGCGACCTCAGGAGCCCCAGGGATCATCTCTCATACGCCCTACAGAAAGGACCTGCAAGACAGGACCTGCTGAGGCCCCTTCCTTCCACCCCTGACCCCTGGGGGGCCCATTATTCCTGTGAGAGCTCCCCTGGGTTATTCCCACCCACCCCGCATTAACCTCCAGCCTTGGAGCACCCTCACACTTTCCCCAGCCTTTGGGACTTCACAATTATTCCCCTCCAAAGACCCCTCCCAAAACTGCCTCCTGGCATCAGCGATGCTGTCACACCTTGGTGACTGCCTAGGCTGCCCCCTTCCCTGCCCTAAGCACCTCTGAGTCTCCATCATGACTTTCCCAGGTCTAGGGCTGTACTGAGACTGCACAGCGACCCTGACACACAGGGCTTCCCTCCAGCACTCCCTCAGACATCCTGCCCACCCTACAGGGGAGATGAGGCTCCACCGCCCCTAAAAAGCACAAGGCACCTTTGCCACACAGGGGCAACCCTATGAATCCCTCTCCAGATATCCTTGGGCCTTCCCCCAAGGGAGACACCATAGGCGGAGGACTCCCCTGGAGGGGATCCTCAGAAACCATCCTCAAAGCCCCCATCACAACCAGAAAGACCCGAGGAAGAAACATGGCCACGAAACCCATCTCCACATACACACTCCCGCCAGTGGCAGCTCTAGGGACCCCACTCATGGTCACCTCACCCCATGGTGACCTCAAGACGCTCCCCCCAGGTTAAAGGGAAAAGAAAGGAAGAATCCAGCAGAATTCCCACAGGAGAATTTATTTTCCTTTATTCATTATGCATTGGAGCTAAGTGCAGAGCATGAAGGGTTTTATAGAAAACTTTAAGTTCTTAGTATAGTTTTCCATGGAAACTTTAAAAATTAACAGTGATAGAGATAATAGATAATAAACCCATTATGAGTACATTATCACTAGGTTTTAGCAAATCTCATTCTGCTGTTTAATTTCAACGATCAATTCCAAATATTCTAGGAGTTTTTTTACATCAAATATAAGATACAATATCATTAATTATGGAAGAATGTAAGTAACTATATCTAACAAATGAAGATAAAAGAGAAAATATCATTATCACATCTAATAAAAGTTTTAATATTTAAAATAGATGAATTCGTGTATTCACCAAAGAGTAGACTCTACAACCACTGAAGGCTTTGCATGAAATGTTTTAACATGTTTCATCTAATATTTCGTCTTCAGACACAAAATATCAATACACAAAAATATTCAATTATGTATACAGGGCCACAGACTATGTTTGGAGGAGGAAATCACAAATCAACAGTGGGATATTCCAAACCGCTTTATTGTGAATGTAAATGCAAGAGGCCAGGCATGATGGCTCTCACCTGTAATCCCAGCACTTTGGGAGGCTGAGGCAGGCAGAATGAGGTCAAGAGATCAAGACTGTCCTGGCCACCGTGATGAAACCCTGTCTCTACTAAGAATATATAAATTAGCTGGGTTGGTGGTTCATGCCTGTAGTCCCAGCTACTTGGGAGGCTGAGGCAGGAGAGTCACTTGAACCCTGGAGGCAGAGGTTGCAGAGAGCTGAGATCCTGCCACTGTGCTCCAGCCTGGCAACACAGCAAGACTCTGTGTTTTGACATGACCATTATAGGCCTGGGGGAAGATAAACTGATTTCATCTCTCCCTTTATAACCATGATGTGGGTGCCTCATTTCACGTGCACAGATTCCCTCCAAAGACTAGATGAACAGGCCTGAGCCCCCAAGGTACTTGAAGTAATGACAGCCTTGTCCGCATGCCATTCTCTCTTTCCACACTTGTTTTGGGCCATCGTGCATTCAGTGCCTCCGTGGACAGAGATCCAAACCAAATTCCAAAGTTGTTTGAATTCCAGCTCAGCTCAGACTGTCACCTGCTTGGGACTGTGGGTGACTGTGGACTCTGAACTGGGATGTGCTGTGTCCATGTGACACTCTTCCTCCCCAAGAGTTGTTCAAGAAGGTGGTGCCCTAGGAATGCCATCTGGACTCAGTGGAACAAGAAGGGCAGGTAGCACCTGGCACCCACTGTTCATGCCACCATCACCCAGCTTCACAGTGTGGTTATTTGAAGAAGTCTCCACTCTACAAAAATCCTAATCAACAACAACAATAAAATTTTTTTTAAAAAAGATAAAAAAAGAAAATCCTAATTTTTCTGGTCTTTTTCAGCAGGAGAAGTGATATTTTGTAGTCCCTATAGTTGACAAGTCCAGGACCTTATAATGCTAATTTCTCTCTTTAATATAAGATGGCATTAGTATGCCTAATGCCGATGAAATCCATGCTGACGGCCCTTGTCATAGCGGCGGCATCTTGATGCAGGTCTTTGTATTCACATGGCCGTGACATAGCCTAGGAAAGTCAATCAAAGAGAAAACAGGCACAATTTTTTAAAAGGCTCCAGCATTTTTTAAAAGGCATCACTGATGAGAAGCCACACATACAGATTCCTTTAGAGGGTTCCCTTGCAGCTGCTTTGGCTGAGGTTTACACTCGGCCAGGTTCTGAGGATGCAACTCCCTGCCCATTCACTAAGGACGTCTCCTTTAAAAGCTATGAAAAGACTGCCAGAGCCAAGAGGAACTTACTTTATAATTTTAAAATTGGGCTCATTGCTTGATGATACTGTCACATAAAAAATAAAATAGTGCTCCTAAGAGTATTGTGACAAGCTTGTGACAATATTATCTGTTACCTGTGCACTTGTTCCTTCTAACATAGTCAACATACACTTGTGCCAAACAATCAGCTTATTCAGCGGTTCAAATTCTACCCAATCCTTAGTAGTTACTACACACTCCAAGCAGATTTTAATGAGACAGGCACGTGCTGGGCTGTTTTGGAACACCCAAGAAGTCTACTAATTGAAGCTACTTTACTTGCACATTGTGGTAAATAAATGTATTGTTCCAAAGTACCACCAAAACACCAGAGACAGTACCAATTTTAAATGTGTCTATTTCAGTTGGAATTTTCCTGTATACTCACCAACAGTCATAAACCATAAATCTTACATTGTCCCATGAAGCCATTTTCACTAAAAACCCATGTCCTTCCTACACCTAGTACTTGAAATACAGTCTAAGCACAAGTCTCTCAGCCACTACTGCTTTGTCTGATAAACTCCTGGGACTGCACCGAGATATATAGAATAGACAAGGACACAAAATTGCAAATTGCTTAAGTAAAAGACAGTCAAGAGCGGGAAGTGCATTGTCTATTTAGATATAATTAGGAATACATCTGCATTTATTAATGAATGTTATGTGAACAAGTAGAGATTAAAAACAAAACCCAAAAGAACAGATTAAATTTAATTAAAAAGATTCTGAATTATGGTCAAAGCAGTGAGAATATCAACAATTTTTTAAAATATAGATCCTTGGCTGGGTGCAGTGGCTCATCCCTGCACTTTGAGAGGCCAAGGCGGGCAGATCACCTGAGGTCAGGAGTTCGAGACCAGCCTGACCAACATGGAGAAATCCTGTCTCTAATAAGGATACAAAATATCTGGGCATGGTGGTGCATGCACATAATCCCAGCTACTTGGGAGGCAAAGGTAGGGGAATCGCTTGGGCCCAGGATGCGGAGGTTGCAATGAGCTGAGATCGCACCATTGCACTCCAGCCTGGGCAACAAGAGCGAAACTCCTTCTCATAAAATAATAATAATAATAAGGATTCTTGTATAAAACATAAAAGACAAGAAATACGATGCCAAAGAAATAAGCACTTTAGTCTGTTAATTTTAAGGCTTTCATTTACCTAATCACTACTTAATATGATTTTGTCACAGATGTTGGCTTTTGTGGCCAATGGGAAACTGCACTAAGTGACTTCACAGCCTTACCTTCAATTTCTCTGCTTTATCTTTGTGAAGAAAACTAAATTGAAAATCCAGTTCATGGTCGTATGCCAAGGCACACAGGTCAAAGTAGTATTTTGCATAAACACTGGCAGACACATGAATATTAAACTCGAGTAGCTCCAAAAAACTCTTCTCCATCTTACTCCTGGGGGAGGAGAAACACAATAAAGCCAACACAGGTCAATTTTAGTCCAGTGGGTTATCTTTAAAAATATCATTCTGAGCTACTAAGATGCTCCAAATTCTGTTTTGAAACAAATAAAGGCTGACTGGTCGGGTCCTTACACTAATGTCCAAACAAGGCACAGCTGCTTGGGGTCTCTTCATCATCCCAGCACCCCAAATTTTGGATGAGGCCTCTTCTGCACTCCTGCTACTGACCTGGGGCTTATTTTTCACAGTTCCCTTAGGGCAGCTGCACAACTCAGACTCCACATGCACTCACAAACCCCGCAATCACGATCAGATGACAGGAATGATGGGTACCATTTAGTAGCTCTGAAGAAGCTCCAGGCGTGTTTACCAGGATGATAACAAGAAGGGACTTACTGAAGTAGAGAAGCACCAACAGGAAGATGGGGCACATCACCATGGCAACAAATGGACCCATGGAGACCCACCCTATTACCTCGGAGGAGGAAAAAGCTCTAAGGAGGATTCATCCCAAATAAATACATAAGCAAGATACATCCCATGGCAAAAAGAATCCCCCTCCCTCTGCTCCAGCACACAAGGCTAGGTCAAGGAGGCATAATGCAAGTTTCTGCTCACCTTAATATTATGAAGAGACTGGGGAAGAATAACATTTACAATTTGAAAGGCAGAAAAGTGAAGGAGAGACATTTTGGCTAGACTAAACTCATTTTATAATGTGATTTATAGTAGGGCCCTGGCCTTAACACATGCAGTGTTGCTCTTGGGTTGGGAATGCAACCCTGAAGAACTCAGTATCTGTCACCCCTGGGCAGAACAGAATATGGGGCTGTTGGATGCAATGGGAGAGGAAAGGACTGGGAGCCGTCCTCTGCCTCACGGTCATCCAGCTGCCCTCACCAAGGCTAAATTAATAGGTACACAGTTAGAGTCATTCTGGCTGCTTTCAGAGTAACCCCTGTAATAAGTTAATTGCTTAAAAATGATCAATATCTGAACAATACATTTGGTTTCTTGGTTTGAAAATTTTAACATTTTACCCACTGGCTAAGTAAGCAAATGCTTGAAAGTGGAGGACAGTTAGACTACGAGCCAAGATGTGGGGATCTCATTTGCTGAACTGAAAACCCAACTGAACCTACTTCCAAAATTAATTTCCTGTTCACATATCCATAAGTCTATAGAAATGTAAATCAAACAATATTTGAATAGACAGCTAATCAGGACCTGACTTACTACAGGAATTAATGGCACTTTATGAAATTAACATATCTATTAATAGAGGTTTAATCACTGAAGAGAAGAATTCTGTGTACAGACTATGCATCTTCTAGGATTTCTGGTTTTTGAAAAGGCTAGATGATTGAATAGCATACCCTTTATGACACAGCATTTCTGAATAGTGGCTACTCAGTTTTACTAGAAAGAAAATATATTCTAGGGACACACAGAGATGTTGGAAAGTTTTAAGAAAAATCGGATGGATAGCAGTTTTTATCTGTTAAACTGACACTCAAAATGGGATCACTGCAAACAGTCAACAGCAGGGGGGTGAGACACATGTCTATTAAATGCTTGGACGTAATGCCTTTCAGCTTCCCAAGATCATACACAGAAGCATCCTGTTCAGAGCATAGCTCCTGGTGTTTTTCCGTTCACACACAAACAGCTGTGTTTGGAGCCGGTCTTCTTGGGGCTGGCCTCTGCCTCCACTGCTCCTGGAGCTCACTTCTGTGGAAAGCTGCACATATCCCCACATGCTCTCTGATCTTGAAACTAGAAATCAGAGCCCCAGCCAGCTTAGCTGCAGGTTTTGAGAACAATTCAGCTGCCAAAATGGCAGAACTAAGTGTTCATGATTACAAATTTGAAACCACCTTTGCAAAAATTGTAACTGAGAAAATTATGACAGTGAAAGTGGGTTGATCTGACTTCATCTCACTTCTAACCTCCAAGCTGTCCTTGTCCATTCCTATGCGGAGGCCAAACTAACTTTGGAAGGAACTTAGTTTGTAGTTTAACTTTGAAACAAAGATGGTAACGACCCTTTCCCAAAACAAACCCCTTTCCCACCTGGGGACTGGATAGATGACCTTTCCAGAACTAATAAATTAGCCACAAGATTAGAAATTGTGGCTTAGGAGTCATGAGGCTGAAGGCTGCAAGAATCTGAACCTCCCCATATTGCTCCTGGGAATGACATCACTATTGTAAAACCTAAAATCAGTCCTTGAGATATTTTGCAGACCTTGTACTGGGATCAGGTGGCACCACCCTAACAAATAAACGTGGCTCTTCTGGTTTTGTGGCCCCCACCCAGGAGCCAACTCAATGCGGGAGGACAGCTTCAACTCCCTATGATTTCATCGCTGACCTGACCAATCAGTACTCCCCACTTTCTGACCTCATACCCACCAAATTATTCTTTTAAAAAACCATCCCAGGCCGGGCGCGGTGGCTCAAGCCTGTAATCCCAGCACTTTAGGAGGCCGAGGCGGGTGGATCACGAGCTCAAGAGATCGAGACCATCCCGGTCAACATGGTGAAACCCCGTCTCTACTAAAAATACAAAAAAATTAGCTGGGCATGGTGGCGCGTGCCTATAATCCCAGCTACTCAGGAGGCCGAGGCAGGAGAATTGCCTGAACCCAGGAGGCGGAGGTTGCGGTGAGCCGAGATGGCGCCATTGCACTCCAGCCTGGGTAACAAGAGCGAAACTCCGTCTCAAAAAAAAAAAAAAAAAAAAAACCATCCCAGAGTTTTCAGAGACACTAATTTGAGTAATAGTAAAACTCTGGTCTCCCGTACAGCTGTCTCTGCATGAATTCAACTCTTTTTCTATTGCAATTATTCTGTATTGATAAATCAGCTCTGGCTAGGCAGCAGGCAAGGAGAAGTCAGGCAGTCACAAATCTTGCTTCCTTTGAGGGACCAGTTTGCAAATGGATGACTGTGATTAAAGTCACTTTAGCATTTGCAACTTTCAAAATACTTCCATTTGTTTCAAATTCATTTGCTGTCACACTCTTTGCTAAAATGGCTACCACAAATATTGCATGATCACTTGCTTTATACTCTTAGCAAAGTGGTGGCAAAAAAATGGTTTTTTTTATTTGTTTCTGGACTGCACACCCAGGACTGGAGTGCAGTCACGTGATCACAGCTCACTACAGCCTAATCTTACCAGGCCCAGGCAATTCTCCCACGTCAGACTCCCAAGTAGCTGGGACTACTACAGGCCCCTGCCAACACACTTGACTAATTTTTTTAAAAAATTTTTGTATGGACAGGGTTCACTGTGTTACCCAGCAGGTCTGAACTCCTGTGCTCAAGCGATCCACACACCTCGGCCTCCTGAAGGGCTGGGATTACAGGCATAAGCCACTGAGCTCAGGCGCCAAGTAGTTATTTTTGAATGTAGATAGTACACATTGCAGCATATCTACAATATACACTATATCTTCATTTGTAGACAAACACTGAGGTGATTCTGAATAACAGTCCTATCTGGAGTCATGGGCAAAGATCACAAAACTAACTTGTGCCACTGCCTGGCATCATCTTTTCTGCTGCTGCTCAATGTAAACAAGAGCTGCTCCCTCGTCTTGCACCAGATGCAGCTGACACAGCTGTCCTCACTGTCCAGCGGGCACCCAGGGCGGCTCTGCTGGAAATGCCCCCCTGCTCACCCTGCCTGCCTGCTTCAGGTCCCTTCACTTCACAGCAGTCACAAGGCCAAACTGGAGGGGAACCCTGGGGAAGCTGTGTTTCAGTATCATGTTGGTGCATCCGGGAGGAACCCCATGACCCTGCAAGGCTCCCCCCACTCTCATAAACAACTACTGGCCCCCAGCCTGCTTCTGTGAATGTCTGAGTACCCAGGGAGCCTGTGAGTGTGGTGGGCATGGGGTGATGCCCCAGAAATGCTTCTCACACTGTGGGAGGTGAACGCAGAAGCTTCTAACCGATTTCCAAACACATGCAATGTTCCCAATAGGGAGGAGCCAGGGCACAGAACATCATACCTCAAGGTTCCTATAAAAACAGATCTTCAGATTAAAGGGGGAGACAGGGACCAGCAAAAGCAAATACACAATGGGTGACTTAGGTTAAAGCTGTAACTTCTGCATAGTCCAGAGACCTTAAGACCTTAATAGTGGCCAATTATTTCGAAGACTAGATGTTTGCCCCTTAAAAGGGGACTGAAACTGGCAGGCGGCTTCTAAAAAGCTATAAAGATATTTACTGTACTGTGTCATTCTGACAGCACACTTGTAAGAGGTTTGCCAAAAAAAAATCAGAAAAACATTTTCCAGTTTATCAGCCAGTTGTTACAACAATAACACATCAAGACTTACCCATTAATGCTGGAAAATACAAACTGTTATACTAAGGCTGGATAGATTGAAGTCTGTGGTCTTATGCCTGTTTCCTTTATCTGCACAATGAAACCTATAAAGATATTTCTTGCAGTGATAACTTGGAGAGCAAATGAGGCATGGAAAATGATGACAAAGTTTGCCAAAACCTTAGAAACTCACATGGTCTCAACTGCAACATCCTTGGGATTCTGGCTGTCATCCACACTCCACAGACCACGATCTCTCCAAACCTTGGAGGCCAGATGCCCGGCTCCGTGGACAATTTGTTTCCAATTCGCAGGACAAAGATCGATGTCAGCATTAGTTAAAAGGCGTTCAATGTACACCTGCAAAATAGAGCACTTGTCTTTGATTTCAGTTCCGTTTCAGTGTGGTGATAACATTTAAGAAAGACTTCTGGTTTTGGCCAGAAAGTAAGTGCCTTTTATTCTTACATTCTGCAGAGACTTTGCTCAAAGTGAGAGGCCATGTCACAGTCATCGTCAGATACCTTTGCAGCATACTCTGCCCACAGAAATTTCCATGCCAATTTCATTCACAGGGATGTGAGCATGAAGAAAGGCACCTTCGGCACCTTCACACTCATGAAAGGCAGCACAAACACAGGCCTCAGGCAGATTCAGGTTGTTCAGGAAACACTACTGTGCCATCTGCATGCAGCGTCACACCTGGTTGGCAGGTAGATAGGAATTTTACAGGTGTGCCATGCTCGAATGTGTAGCACCCAAGTCATACTGAGAACCCTGCTGTCTTCTCCTTTTCACAACAACTAACCCACTCTTGGGACACAGGTTTAGTGCCTCCCAGTGCCTGCCGGGCAGACGCATGACAAAGGCAGATCTCTGTTGCTGAGAAACAGTCCCTGTATTCAGTGCCTTGATGAGGAATGCATGTGAATGAATGGAGGGTCCTTCTCACAGCCCCTATTTTCCATGTCTCCACAATCACTTCATGAAAACTTATTTCTTGTCCTACAGTATCTGCATTCAGTCAATTCTGAGGGTTTGAAGGCAGAGAGAGCTGCCAGCCTCTGTATCCTTGGGGTAACTCTAAATCTGTCAAGCAGTTTGTGAGATAATCTCAGAAAGTATTTCAGAAAGTATTCTCTATTTATCCAATCTCTATCCTATAAAGAACTGGGTGAGGGACCAGCTGAGTGGAGGTTACAGAGATAAGCTGTGAGGTGTTGCTACCTCAGAGGGTGCTCTGTAGAAGAGTATGACTCTATGCTACTTGAAGTCTTTGTATCAAGGTGAAAAGAAAACAGTTCATTTTAAGAGAGTTCATTTATTGTCTGAACATTATCAGATTGGCGGCTCAGATCTGGCAATGTTCTCCAAAGTCAACTGTGTTTTCCAAATCACATGGCCCTTGAACATAACATGTTCTTATAAGAGATGCTGCTCCCTTTCTCCAAAACTCTGCACTGTCGGGTATCCAAGGAAGAACCCTCCCTCCCAGGGTTCAACTCCACAGGACTCATAAGAGAGCACTGAAACAGCACTGGCGAGCCCTCAACTTCCTGTCATCTTTACTTGTAAGCCAGTGACCTGCTGACACTCATCACTACCACTTGCCCTCCTGGGCCAGTGAGATAGTTCCTCTTTTAACATTGACTCTTCTATCAGCATGATGGATCCTATCCCACTTTTGCAGAACACTGTTCCCCAAATCACCTCTTCTTGAAGACCTTCTCCCTCTCTGCCAGAGATTTTCCCAAATACAAATGTGTTGCCTGTTCCCATCCTGCTCCCCACAGCTCCTCCAGGACATCCTCTCATTTGCTCACAGTGTCATGCCCTGGTTTCGGCTCCTCACCTCCCATCTCTCCTTATCCACCCCCCACCCCCATCACTCACCTGAGACTCCTCTTGCCAAGGTCCCTGGAGCCTTCACACCCACAAACCAGAGCCCTTCACCCCAAGGCTCCACTCCCCAACCTGGCCCTAATCTTGTCCAGGAAATTGCCATTGGTCTAGTTCCTGGGGATTAATACTTACATGTGAGTTACCCTCCTCCAATCCGTGTGCAATCCCTCTATGGCTACCTTCACTGGTAGGCTGCCTGCTTCAGATTCTGGGCCACCATGTGTCATGGCTCACCTATAACAGCCTAGTTGCTTCTTAGTCCTCTTCTCTGCCCCAACCCTCCTCCCGACTATGGTCTACTCTCCCCAAAACAGTTGGGATAACCTCTAAATTAAGAACACTGCACTCCCCTGCTCAAGATCTACCATTAGTCCCCGCTTCAAACTGGAATAAAACCTTAACTTCGTCCCCTGGTCTGCAAGCCAAAGGGCTCTGTGAGCTATGGCACTGCCTGTGCAACCTCATCTTTTCCATTCTTTCCTTCATTTCTCTCACAGGCGGGCTCTCTGCTGTCTGTTCCTTGAACACACATGAAATGTGTTCCTGTCTCAGTGTTGGCACTCATCCCACAGCCTGTAATGCCAGCACTCCTTATCATTCTCGCTTTATAGTCAGGTCACTGCTCAGATGTGACCTCTCTAGAGAGGCTCTTCCTGATCATTCTATCAGAAACAGCGAGCCCCTCCCGTCACTCTCTCTGTATCCTGCTTTATCATTTTGCTATTTGCCATTACCTAAAAAAAGAAATGCTTTCCTCATTAAAACAAATGTCTCATAAAGACAAGGACTGTGCTCGACCCGTCCTCTTCTCTGCCCCAGCACTTAGAAGAGTGGCACAGGGTTGGCATCCCAGGGGTGTTTATGGAATGGGCACCTTCTTGGCAGCATGTAGCACTGTGACCACAGCCTTTCCTATTGTGAACACTTTGTTCTTATTTTTTTCTGCTCTTCCTCCTCCGACTCTGGCACTTTACTGGGGGGTTGTCCCTCACATGCTGGTAGTCTTTACAGAGCCATCTTTTGTCCATCTTCTCTTTTTTTCATTTTCCTGAGTAGCTCCGACTATAGGTGTGTCCCACCATGTCCGGCTTGCCCACTTTCATTCTAAACACCTTCTCTGCGTTTGAGCAGCTACTCTTTTTTTCTTTTTTCTTTTTTTTCCAGAGTTTTGCTGTTGTTGTGCAGGCTGGAGGGCAGTGGTGCAATCTTGGCTCACTGCAACCTCTGCCTCCCAGGTTCCAAAGATTCTCCTGCCTCAGCCTCCCAAGTAGCTGGGATTACAGGTGTCCACCACCATGCCCAGGTAATTTTTTGTATTTTTTAGAAGAGACAGGGTTTCACCATGTTGGCCAGGCTGATCTCTAACTCCCGACCTCAGGTGATCCACCTGACTTGGTCTCCCAAAGAGCTGGGATTACAGGCATGAGCCATCATGCCTCGCCTTGAGTTGCTACTCTTATTCTTCATTCCTTACCTCTAGCTCAGATTCATGCTCCAGTCCCATAGATCCAAATGATGACTACACTGCTCAGATTCATGCTCCAGTTCCGTAGATTCAAATAATGACTGCACACGTCATTCTGCTATCTCACAGGCACACCAAATTTAGCCTGTATACAGTGAACTCCCCCTTCTTCCAATCCAGCTTTCCCTCCTGCATCAGCTCTCTCTCTCTCCATCTGGAAGTACCACTCCTGCTTCCCTCCAGCATGTGCTGAGCATTCCCAATGGCTGCAGCTCCATGAAATGGCCTGCATCTGATCCAGTGCTCACAGAGAGGTTTCTATGCAGGTGTCCAGCAGAAGTCTTCACCCCTAAGTTCTAGCCGGATGCTAAAGGAGAGGGTACTGCTCTAAGTATCCTTTCTCCCCAGGCCGTGTGGTTGACATTCCTCTACAGGTTAGTGTGAGGAGGGGCCAAACAATCCCAACCATCTGAACAGGACTTTATATTCAGAATGAGTCTCACCACAGGAATTCTGTGAGACCCATGTAGAGGTAAGGACACAGCTATGGCTTGGCAGGCTAACTAGCAAAGCCCATGTCCAAGTCTTACTGGTTCCACATTCCTGGGCAATTTCCTGAGCAGGCACAAGAGGTCACCAGGAACAACAAAGCCTTCAGAGCAGCAGCTTCAGGTCAGAACTGTGGGGAAATACAGCCTGGAACTCAGCTTAGACCTACATGGGAATCTATTGAGGGAGAAACCAGAAGTCTCTCCTGCTGCTTTTAGTAGCAATTATTCTCTGATAAGAAAAGCAATGGCATCATTTTAAAACACGACGATGATTAAACTCTAATATGTGTATTTACTTTGCTTGCATAGGCTTCTCTTAAAAGATCTGATGATAGCTTTAGGAACTGACTTTTATTTAGAAACATGGCCATACGCTGTGTAGGAGACCAGTTATTAAAGATGCTTTATAGATAAGAAATAGCTTACCAATGCTACGATTGCACGTGGAGCTGTTAGTTTTGTGACTAGAAAAAGAGTACAGAAATATCTGAAAATGCAGTGGTGTGTGGGATCATCCTCAAAGGATTTCCCTGGAATCTTTTCTTGCTGAAAGAAGAAAAAAGGCAATATAAATATTCATTCAAGAAAACTTCTTAAGTACTCTTAAGATGGGAATGTTCAAATTTGTGCCCACATGTCCCTTACAATAATTTTGCTGGGATAAAATGTCTTTTAGTTCTAAAAATATAAACAGTAGGATCTTAAAATATTTTTGGTTTTCTGTAAACATAGGTGCTAAGGTGGCCCTGTGGCTATCACATACCTGAAGAAGGAAGTTTTTAAGTTTTTATAGCATTTAAACAAATTTAAATTTAAATTGTTTTCTTATTCTATTCACAGAGTTTGTGCATATTTGTTAGGACTACTTACAAATATTTATATTGTTTGCTGCTATAAAAAATTATCTTTTAAAATGACACATTTTGTTATTTGGATGGTATGTTTATTCCCCTTGGCGCACAAATTAAACAAAGCTATAAGTCAGCTCTTACTCCAGTGTGTCCAATTTACAACACTCCTTACATAAGATGATTAGACACAACTTAGCGAAGACCTAATGGTGGGTGATTTTGACTTCATCAAGAAATAAACACGACTCTATAAGACATAAACAGAACCTCAGAGAAAGTGACACTTACTGAAAGTGGATGTATTGGCTCATCAAAAATAGCCAGAGATCTATTTGCATATCTGTAAAAGAAGAATGTGAATTTAAGAAATTAATTCAGGAACTGTTAATATCTTAGTAAAGTATCTGCTGGGAGTAGGGCATGGAGGGTGGAGGGAGATACTTCTTGTTTGCTTTGGTAAAATTTGTTCACCAAAACGGTTGTTGCCAATTTTTCTCCTGGATCCTGGCCTTCAGAGGGTTTCTTGACCTCTTTTTCATCAGCACATCACATTCTGAACTGGGAAGTCTTTTCTACATTGATGAGCCAGCCTTGCCTTTAAATACTGACCCCCGCTAACAGGCAGTGGGAATAAGCTGTATCTATTTTTACTCCTCTAACCTCATGGCGGAACACAAGAACATTTTAGAAAGCAGTAGTTGTTGGCAATAAAAATTTTAGAACTTTTTAGAATCAATTAAGATTTCCCAAATCTTTATTATACTTTATGTTTGCTGAAGTAGTTTGAGTTACAGACTTAATTGCCTTTTTATTTTAAAAGAGGCCAGTCTTTAATGAACTTTAAAAACTAACACATTATGTGATCATTAAGGAAACCAGTGGTTCTCCCAACGTGGTTTGTGGACCCCTGAGGTTCCCTAGGAGACCCATGATGTCAAAACTGATTGTTGTTGTTGTTGTTGTTGTTATAGGATTTTGCTCTTTCACCCAGGATGGAGCACAGTGGTACAAACCTGACTCACTGCAGGCTTGACTCCATGGGCTCAAGCAATCCTCCTGCCTCAGCCTCCCAAGAGGCTGGGACAAAATGTCCACACCACCATGCCCAGCTGATCTTTTTTTTTTTTGATAGATGGGGTCTTGCCACATTGCCCAGGCTGGTCTCAAACACCTGATTCAAAGTAATTCTCCCATTTTGGCCTCCCAAAGTGCTGGGATTACAGGTGTCAACCACCATGTATGGCCCAAACTGTTCTCACAAGAATACTAATTCAACCTGAGAAGCTGATTGAAAATAAAACACACAATTTATTACTTTTTTAAAGTATTAAGACATTGACTGCTTTCTCCCTGTTCAACACTTGTAATGACTGTTTAAAAGCAAAAGTGGGTAAAACTGATGGTTTCTCAGTATGAATAAGGGCAGTGGTACCAAATTATACCAGTATTCATTCCACTCTTCACTGCCCCTTGCAGTTTTTATTAAAGTAGCCTGTTTCACTGAAGAATGTCCTTGATGAAATAGTAAAAATTAATGTTGTTATTAAACTTTGACCTCTCTTTTTAGTATTCTAAGTAGAAAGTTCACATAAAGCGCTTCTGCATACTGAAGTATGGTCATGTTAAAGAAAAGCAGTTGTGATTTAATTGTGAGCTGAGCAAGCCAATTTTTCACAGAACACCATTTTTATCTGAAAGTATAACTGACTATTATCCATAAAATTTTTCAGGGAAAATAACAAGTATTTGTCTATAATAAAGCTAAAACTTTCAAGGTAAAAATCAGGACTTTGAAAACTCATACCTACTACTGTGAGCTTGACAGCATCTCCATATCTGAAGACATTTTTATAATGGTGGTGATACTAATGAAAGTGAGTTTTTGACACTATAAATAAACCAAGTAGCCAAGACATAACATTGTAAAAGCCAGTAAGGGGAAAGATCCATTTATTGTACAAGAAAGATCAGTGACTATTAGTGAACGAATTCATTGATATGTACAATCCCGCTATAACCATTTTAATCAGTTAGCACTTCTGGAGTTTTGGTGGGGTTAAAGAATACCCACAGTTACCTGAAAGCTTCAAAAATATGCCTTTTTTCTACTATATATTTGCGTGAGGCTAGGGCCTCTTTTAACTGCTTCTTTACAAATAAATTGCAAACAAAGACATAAAGAAATACACTTTGGAACCCTTAATAATTTAAAAGAGTCTTATGGACCAAATAACCCACAAATGATTCACTGTAACCCTGTAAAATAAGCACTCTACAGCTTATAATGTCTAGAGTTATGACCTGACAGCATGTTTCGTATGACACAAAGTGATGAGCTGGAATAACAAGACAGGTTTCAAAGAGCTCACCTGTGCTTTATGTTGTAATATATTGCCAAAGTCACACTGTGGAGGGAAAAAAAAAAATTGTAAGAACTGATGTTATCATTTGTTAGGCCTGAAGATATATTTCTAAAGTGGGGGAGGGAACCCTCTCAGTGGCCCTGAAATCCTCTCTTCCAAACAGTACCATATGAGCACTTTCCTTTTGTTTTAGTCCTCTGGCTTTACAGCAAAAATAGGAGAACCAAAATGCTAGGCAATGTGCTGTTAGAAGACTTGTGTCTGCAGATGGTTATTATGTGTAAATAATGACATATTTTCCCTGTCATTTGCTCTTCTGCCCATAGAACCTTTCATTCTGTGCAAGTTGCTTATATCTATGTGTACATATGCTCACATTTAGGCCAGACAGTAGTGTTTTCCTTTTAAGTTGCTGGCCCCGCATGTTGGCTGATTTAGTTCACCATCACCTACTCACCCATTTGTCATTGTTTCCCTAAAAGCAGAGAATGAATGTGCTTTATACCAAATAAAGTAATTTAAAATCACCTATGCATGATTAGCAGAAAATTTATTAGTAAACATTATAATGCATCCAAAAATCGATGACACTTGTAGCGCTCGTAAAATAAGCAGTACTAAACACAGAGCGTAACACCACATCACACAACATTAATGGCAGGTACTTCCTCATTAGTTTAAACAAAGTATGAATGAACAAATACAACTCTTCGGATGGATGTTACTGTGTTCCAGTCATCCACAGATGTTGTGTGTCAGGAAACTGGGGCTTCTCTTTGATAAGTTCTGGCCTTCCATTCACCCTCAACATTTAAAATGAGGCTCAGAATAATTGAGAAGGCAAATTGGAGTTGTAAAAAGTAGGCCTTACAACATTATTAGCATCTAAGATAGATATTTCTATAGTGCTTCCAACAGTTTCATCTCCACATTTTAAGATCACAGAATTGGAAGTTACATGCTGAAAGGGACCACGGAACCTCACGTGACACTCCATGCACCACCCATTTTACAATTAAGAGAACCAAGGCTTAAAACTGATTTGCCCAAGGTCCCCGATCAGTGCTACTGTGAACTGCAGGTGTTCACAAAACACTATGGTATGGTATAAATTGAAGCATAAGCACACATAGATAGAAATGACTCGCACAGATGAAAGTCTTTATGGGTAAAAAGAAGAGCAAATGACAGGGAAAACATGTAATTTTTATATTAGAACCATCACTTTTTCACACAAAGGCAGCAGCAGCCTCCACATTCGCTGCACACTGGATCACCTGGAGAGCTTTAAACAGGGCCTCAGTGTCAGCTGGAGACTTTCTGATTTAATTGGCGTTGGGAATGCTTTAGGCATCAGGGTTGTTGGTAAAGTTCTCCAGGTGATTCCAATGTGCAGCAAAGTTTGGGAATGACTGAATAGGGCTAAGATCAGAATCATCTGGGATGCTTTTACCCATATAATGATGTCTCACATACTTCCCCATTTTCCTAAAAGGCTTGTGAGTGCCCAGAAATGGAGGGAAGGTGGAGCTGGGAAAATGCATGTGTTTGCAGACAATATATTTTGAAGAAACAGTGTAAGTGATTCTAACATGGCTCACTTCTTCCATTGAGAACAATGCTCTATTATCTATGAAATACATTTTTCAAAATCTTTCCCAAAAGCCAATTTGCTATATTAACTTGCTCAGTAAACCTTTATTTCATCAAAAGCAAATATACCAAATAATCCCTTCTAAAACTGGAGAGTACATTAAAACCTACTGTGCTTCAAAAATAGACTTCTAGCCCAGGCATGGTAGCTTATGCCTGTAATCACCACATTTTGGGAGGCCGACTTGGGTGTATTGCTTGAGCCCAGGAGTTTGAATCCAGCCTGGCCAACACAGCAAAGCCCCTTCTCCAAAAAACAAAATATATATATTTCAATTTTTTTAAAAACCTTGTAAAATTTAGGCTACGCTGGAAGAAAAAGAAGGACTTTTACTTGTTTGAACAAGGGTAAGCTTAAAAACTACTTTTGAATTGCATACTGAACATTAGAATCTTTTGAAATCAGAAGCAGCCAGGGACTCTAGCTGAAAAAGGGTGGCTTTTTACTTAGGACTGAATACAAACACTGAGTGATGACACCACAGAGGTCAAAGTGCAGGGCTTTAGACGCAGGTGGAGCCCAGTTCTTGCTGAAACACAATTGGATCTCAATTATTGTTACACACGAGAGAGGAAAGTCACATTATTATGAGTATAAACTGCCATTTTTGATTAAAGTAGAAGTTACTGACAAATCAGCTTAAAAACTAGTACATTAGAGACAAAATTAAGCTTGTAACTTAGTCATGTTTATAGACCAGGAAATCAAGTTAGGGATAAGGAGATTAACATTCTGAGGTACCACCTGCCAAACTGTTTTCTGAAAATCAACACTCATAATGAAAGGAGATGTTAATAATGTTTCCTGGACATCTCCATTGGAGCTGGCCTTTTAAACCAACTTGAACCCATCTTTCAAGGGTGTTTTGAAAGGACATCTCTGATTGTGGCCTATGAAGTGCTGGTGCACGATGGGAAAATGTAAATGCAGATACACTATGGTGCTGCTGGAGGACAAGCTGTTCCTTCTTCCAAGAGTAGTTTCCAAAGTAGTGCCCATCGTCTTAGGCCTATGGCCCATAAAGAACTAATAATTTTTCCTAGAAACATCCGATAAAAAGCACCTCTCCTGTCCATTAGGTTCAATACTGTCATAACATAAATGCATCAAATAAATAGCCATGCTATTTCTGGGATTGCTTATTTGCTAACTGGCTTTCCCTTTTACCACGCAGTGTCTAAGATTAAAAAAGAAACAGAAAATTCATACTTAGGTCCTGAAAAATCCATATATCATTGACCACAACTTCTTCAACTGCTTGCTGAAAGGGGCAATCAAATGGCTGAAATAACAGCAGATGGCCGGGATGCTTTTAGCATATGGCGGTCTGTCACTCAGCCCTTGGAAGCCTCGTTGTGCTCACCTTTCTAATATGTGGCTGAGATCAGGCTCACTGACTGTGCTGTTATCTAGCAATATGGTGGAACACGAGCTGTATTTTCTATCAAGATGCCACGGAGGTATCTGAAGAAGAAGGAAGATAGAGAAAAATATCACAGTAGGCTGAACTTACAAAAGTGTGGGTTTTTCCCTTTGTCAAAATGTTGAACAATAAAGCATTAAGGTATTTTTTATACCCCATGACCTGCCTGAGTGTGGTCTCATGTGCAGCTCTATGGGAAACTCATTGGAGGCTCTTAACTTTCACAGATGATGTTTGAGAAATGGGTTACAAAATGCTGCCCTGGATATGACACCGATCATCAAACCTGGTAAGCCTCTATTATAAATTCCCTTTATAAATAAGGGGAAACATTTAAAATGGGATTTCAGGTTTTTTTCTTATGCAGTAAAAAGCACTGAGATTTTCTATTTCCGTTATTCATTAACTGCAACAAACTGTCATACATTAAACAATATTGACACAAGAGCATTTGAATGCAGTAAATGAAGACCTAATACTACATTTACTAAGTTACTAATCCTAAGCGTGTGCATTAAAGAGAGAGTGTGATGGAACCAGTGTGTTAGAGTCAGAGGCTGTGTGTGCCAGAGCTGCTCAGTCACCAAACAAGTGAGGGGCCATAGGTCTCCCTGGGCCTGTTTCCTTGTGGGAGGATGGAAAAAGTACTGCTTTAGGACTCTCTCACATCCAAAAATCAGACGATGAAAACAACTTTGGGAATTTAACTTTCACTTCATGTTTCCATAAGACTGCTATGACACTACTCAAATGAGAACTTCTGAGAATACTCTGCATTCATTTCAAAAGTTAATTGATTTCATTCTTTAAGTTATTTGATGCACATTATGGCACATTCCTGCCTCACTCGTGCTGCTGTCTGTCTGGAATATTTATTCCTTTCCCCCTTGTCCCAGCAAGCTTGACCTCATCCACCTTCTGGGATCCCTTTGCCTGCAGCCACACCACAAAACATTTCTGGTTTTGTGACTCAACAGTCTAATTCACCATGTGTTACATGATACAACTGCCTGCAGAGCATCCCCTCATGAGAAAGTGAGCCTCTCCAGGGGACGGAGGACCCCTTCTCTCCTACCTGCAGCTGCTGAGCACAGAATGTGAGAGAAATTAAGGAGTTCAATAAGAGCTTGACAAATATTTAAATCAGTTACAATTTGGAAAGTAAATCTTCCTGCAGATACAAATCAGTGAAAATTCATCCACAGTGCTATCAGAGATATGACAGTGAGCCCTGTAGAAAATAAACTATCTCTAAAACACTTTCAAAGTATCTATTCATTTGTTGAAAGTGCAATAGTCAATACGGAAGCTGCCTCAACTATGTTAAGTAAATGTTCCTCCTTGCCAGGTGAGGTGGTTTATTCCTGTAATCCCAGCACTTTGGGAGGCCGAGGTGAGTGGATCATACGGTCAGGAGTTCAAGACCAGCCTGGACAAGATGATGAAACCCCATCTCTACTAAAAATACAAAAATTAGCCAGTCGTGGTGTTGGGTGGCTGTAATCCCAGCTATTCAGGAGGCTAAGGCAGAGAATTGCTTGAATCCCGGAGGCAGAGGTTGCAGTGAGCTGAGACTGTGCCACTGCACTCCAGCCTGGGTGACAGAGCAGGACTCCATCTCAAATTTTAAAAAAAGAAAGAGAGAGAGAGAGAAAGTGCTCATCCTTAAAAATAATCCCAGTAGCCAAATGCCAGTCACCAAATCGTTGAAAAGATCAACAGCATTATTTAAAACCACAAAATACCCATTATGTTAACTGGAAAAAAAACTAACTCGGATGAGCCTTCCTTCCTCCTCTTAATATGCTTGTTTGCATCATGTTATCACACTCTTCCATCAGGGTCCCTCACAAACACATTAAAGACAGAACAGGTTGGGATCTACTACTAATGAGCTAGTATGAAACAAAAGGCAGGGTAGGGAGAAGATCTAGCGGTTGTTTATAAAACTACACTGCATTTAAACATTGCCAGTAGCCAATAATCAGAAATATCCATAGAGTCCAACAGCATTTTGCTGCTTCAGATGGTTTTTACTGCAAATTCACTTATTTCTTAACCAAAATCCAAGATGTTTTTGAACAATATTACTATTTGAAGGACCAAATTACCCTTTAAGATAGAAATGTTTTAACTCTAGCTAAAAACTCTTAATGTTTCTTAAGCTATTCTGTTACAGTTTACATTAACAGTGTATGTGTGTCAACGTATATACTTTTATTGTCTCAAAAACAAATATGGCATAAAAAATAAAAATGGACTCATTCAGACACTTTCATTCAAAGGGAAAGAAGGTATCCCTTAAGGTCACTACTATTAGGGATAATGCAGCGTAATATTTTAACATAACAAAAGTCAACTCTGAGGAAAATTCCATATATGAGAATAAAAATAACAGGAAAAATGCACCAAAATACAGACTAGTTGGTATAGCTTTAGGTGATATCTGTCCCCATTTTTTTTTATTTAAAATTTCCTCTCACTCACTGTGACCTCCACCTCCAAGTTCAAGCAAGTCTCCTGGCTCAGCCTCCCATGAAGCTGGGACTACAGGAGTGTGCCACCATGCCTAGCTAGTTTTTGTATTTTTAGTAGAGCCGAGGTTTCACCATGTTGGCCAAGCTGGTCTCGAACTCCTGGCCTCAAGAGATCCACCTGCCTCAGCCTCCCAAAGTGGGATTACAGGCATGAGCCACCACACCCGGCCTTCAAGATCACTTTTTTCTCCCCACTTTTTTATAAGACATGTTTTAGACGTTTTTAAAATAATTAATGACTTTTAGCTAACTTGAAAGTTTCCAATACTTTGTGTGCTAACAAAATCATCTCCATCTATGTTGCACAGCAATGGGACCACATGGCAGGTATGGAGTTTGAATAGAATTATTACATAAGGCCTGAGTGGAAAAGTGTAATATGCTTATTATAGGTATAACTAGAAAATTGTCTGAATTAATGTCATAATTATGTTCAATTTAAACTTAGATTTACACTTACATATAGGTTCTAAATTTGGGTTAAATATGATGAATTGACCACAAAATATGATGGATTGACCACAAATTTATTTTCTCTTCCTTCTGGAATCTCATGAGAATTAGTCATAAAATAAACACAATACACAGGACCAGGAGACAGGATTGACAGCAGATTCTGAGTCAATGTTGCAGGGTGACAAGCAGATAGAGGAGTGGTAACTGACATGAAAGCACAACCCTGGTGCCCACAGGGAGTGACCTGAACAGAAACAAGCAATCCTGTGTATTTTGAAGGACCCAACACAGTCTCCAAAATCAGAGCACATGGTACCAGGGAAGGTAGGGTGAAACATACAACAGAGCCAACAAGGTCAGTAGTAAATCTGTGGTTAGAACCTCAGGTCCACCTGTCCTCCCATCTTATAAGGAATGTGGATGTGTATTCTCTGGATATATTATACCTGAAGGTTTCTGAGCTCAGACCTACCAGGACTGAAACCTGGGAAATGGGAGTAAATGGCACACACAAAGTGAAACTCCACCTTGCTTCCCAACCCTACTTCTGGAAAGCCAGCAGCCATGCTTACACTGCCCAGGCAGAAAATTGGGAGGCCCTTCTTGGAAGAAAACTGAACCATGGCAAAGAAAATACCCTCATTCCCTCATATATACACTGATGTCCCTCAAAGGAAACGCTGCCTCGACATCCAAAATCCTACAGTGAGACCCCTCAGTGAAAACAAGGTCCTTCTTTCAATGAGAGAAAGCCAAAGACCACCACACATTTGAGCAAAGCCTCCAATGGGAGATCAAAACAACAGGAAAAAGGAATTCCTGGGACCAGTAAAAATTCAGGAGCAAAACTTTTTTACGAATCTTAAATCACCCTTAAGGAGATTTTTTAAAATTCAATAGAAAAGTTAGCATGGACAGTCAAAGAATCTCTAAGAACAGAACAAAAGATAAACTGGAAAATCGGAGGTAAAGAAGTTACAGATCAATGCAGAAATACTGGTCTAAGAGGTCCAACATCTGAATCATTAGACTAAAATAATAATAATAAAACAGAGCACACAGAAAAATTCTCTAAATTTTATTTTAGACTTAATGGTCACAATAAAATAAAAGGTCCCTACCAAGCTTTGTGTTACAATTTCAGAATCTCAGGGATAGAGAAGGTCCGAAACCTTGACAGATGGAAACGTTGATTACATATGACGTATCACACAATGGCAATACTTTCAAAAACAGTATAATAAAAATGCAATAGAAAAATGTCTTCAAGCCATGACATTTAGTTTTCACTCTAGAATTTTATACTCTATATCAAATGAGGGATTTTAAGAAAGCCCAGATCTCTAAACATGTGTGTACATGAGCCTTTCCTCAGAAACTGCACTCCAGCATTACTGGGGAGTAACACAAAGCAGAGCGCAATTCACAGTCTAGGACTCAGGGACCCAACATTAGTCGCCCCAGATTTCAGAGAGAGCTCCCAGGCCAACAGGTGCAGGGCAGCCCAGGAAATCACAGTTCATCCTGAGGATGATAATGAAAGGCCAAGGAAACTTGCTTCAAGAAAAAAACATGGAATGTATATTTTTTTAGAAGATAAAACACATTTTTGATAGGCATGTGACAAATGTTACAACTCTTGGGGAAGAATAGTTGTTAGAGAGCCAAAGGAATATAGTCAGAAAATCAATCACACACACACACACACACACACACACACACACACACGAAGGATGTGAAAACAAAGAGACCAGCGGAGGCTAATGGTCATATTTGGCTTTATGAGCCATCATGGGCTAGGAAAGGGGAGGTTATCTGGGAGAAGTGCAGAAGTGTTCAGGTTTCAGAAATATTTAAGAGAAAGAATGAAGGATGTATAAGGAGGAGGCACACTCAGAACATTATATGATCAGCAGTGAATAATATGTGCATAGTCATAATCATGTAAATATCAATTCATGATTTAATTAAAAGTGTGTTACAGGTGGAAGAAACGGGGAGGGAAATAAGGGTGCAGTGGAGTGAGGATGCTGCGCTTTCAGCTGCTATGACGGAGTCAGCAGAAAGTGTTGAAGAAAATGGACTTGACTATTTTCAATTTGATTTGATTTTAAAAGATTAAATATTTAAGGCAGATCTTTATATCACAACCAAATTATTTAAATTTAACTTAAATGTCAAACAGCCTTAAAAATGGGCACAGTAAGTTAAAGACTTTCCGGCATAAATCTGACACTTAGGAAAACAGAAAAGAGTTAGAAAATTCACCAAGAAAGGATCATGCTAACAGCACTGGGTCCCTGTTACATTTCTAAGGAATTATGACAGATAGACTTTTAATTTAAACAATTAATTTCTTAACTTTTCAAAAGCTTACTTACAGAATATAGGCGAGAGCTTCTCCTCTTTCCTTGCACTAAAAATAAAAATATAACTAATCAATTCTGGTATAACAAAATACCACAGAATAAAATTAGATGCTAATCATCTGATCATCACTATATAAAACAAGATAAATCTGATTATCACTATATTAAAAATCAATTTTTAAAACATTTTTAATTTAAACAAAATTTAACATTTAAATAATCTGGCATGATGAATCTCATAATGTAAAATTTAAAAACACAGTTTTACTTTTTGACCTAACACATATTCTATTATGTTCAAATGAAAGAATCTCCATGTACATAAGGAAAGGCAAAACAAATTAGGCAAAGTGTGTGCCCTCCAAATCTCATGTTGAAATGTAATCCCCAGTGTTGGAGGTGGGGAAGTCTTTGGATCACGGAGGCAGATCCCTCATGAATGCCTTAGTGCCATCCCCTTGGTGATGAGTGAGTTCCTGCTCTGAGTTCATGCATGATCTTCTTGGGGTTTTGTTGTTACTGTTGTTGTTCTGAGACGGGGTCTCACTCTGATGCTCAGGCTGGAGTACAGTGGTGTGATTATGGTTCACCGCAGCCTTGACCTCCTGGCCTCAAGTGATCCTCCCACCTTCCCCTCTAAAGTAGCTGGGGCTGCAAGCATGCACCACATCTGGCTAATTTTTAAATTTTTCATAGAGACAGGGTCTCACTATGTTGGCCCAAGGTGGTCTCAAACTCCAGGCTCAAGTGATCTGCCCATCTCAACACCCCAAAGTGCTGGGATTGCAAGTGTGAGCCACTGCACCTGGCCTGATCTGCTTATTTAAAAGCCTGCAGCAACTCCCACTCGCTCTTGCTCCTCCTCTCACCATGTGAAAGATGACTTCTTCACCTTCCACCACGATCATTAGCTTCTTGAGGCCCTTGCCAGAAGCCCATGTTAGCACCACACCTCCTGTACAGCCTGTAGAAATGTGAGCCAATAAAGCCTCTTTTCTTTATAAATTATCCTGTCTCAAGTATTCCTTCATAAAAATGCCAAAATGTGGGACAGATGAGAAATTTAGCTAATAAAAACGTTTACCTATTGTATTTCTGAACCCCTATGCAGCAGTGTTTTGTTTTCTGATTCTACATTTACACATAGCTTACTTTCATTACCAGGATCTAATAGCTGACAGCTCTAAGAACCAGTTTCTGGCCAGGGATGCACTAGATTCTCGAGATGCATTAGAATAACTGGAAGCATCCCAAATGACTTCTCAGTCATCTATTCCTACATTACTGAAAAATAAATGGGTCTTTACTCAACTGAAAGGTAGCCTATCTTAAACTTAAATATCAAAATGAGTGTGCCAACCTAACTGCACGGGGTATCCTCAGCACACACAATCATTTTGTTCTAACAAAGGTCCAAAGAATAAAAGCTCCCAAGAGGGTCTTGGGCCACACTTTCTTCCCTATAATGCCTCCTCCTTTGAAGTTGAACTGGTCTCATTGACACACATTTCTCACCACTGAAGTGACAGGGGCAGGGGATCGGTTTTCTTCTATTTCCATTCACTATGTGTGAGAAGCCCATGGCTCTTGGAAGAAACTGAGAAATAGAACAATCCTAACCAGAAATTACTAGCTCAAGTCAGACAAAGTCCACACAAATATGAAAATGCAGGTGAACAACCCCTTTTTTATGGTGCTGCATTACTTCAGATGTTATTCTAGAACCCCCAGTTCTTGTATTCTTGTTGTTAAAATTAACTGAAAAACATGGTGTATGGCTTTTTTGAAAATAAATTAAGACAACAGAATGTTATGTAACATAAGCAACAGTATAGAAAAATCCTACACTTCAAATTCTCATCCTAAAACAGGCAGGATATGGAAACTTTACACTAGTTTCACACACTAAAGCTAATACAGAAAACAGCACAGGGCATGTTACATTTCTATTACATTCCAATGAAAAAGTTCTAGCATCGACTTGGATGTGACAGTGGTCAGAGCACTGTGAACAAGGAGCCAAAATCACAGATCCAATCTAGAACAATGGATTCTTTTGATTTGCTCAAGTGAAATCCAAGCTGTGACCTAAATCCTATCAGTCATTATTAAAACATACTCTTTAGAGCAAGGGGAAAATGGCAAAGACGTATGAAGAAAAAGGTATAAATCTGTGACTACTACACTAAATCATGTGGCCAATTAATCATGTTGGTAAAAATGTCACCAAATGTGTAAACACAAAGTCTATATGTTTCCATGCACAGTGACAACTAAAGGGAATTATATCACATATGAAAATAAGACAAGGAAATCTATGAGAAGTTGAACATTTTTAACTAATATCTGAGTTTCTCTAAATACTTTCTGTAATACACAAGACAGAAAAGTTTTAGGTTTTCCTTGAAGGCAGAAACAATATTGTCTCACCACTCATTTGATACTTTCTCAGGAAGAGTGTGCTTGCCCTTGGATGGTAAGAAGCAGTATCTGTAGAGGAAGAAGAGGAAACAATGTCATAAGTGAGGTGAGTAAAAAAGATTCTTTTTAAAGCTACATAACCATTTGAATCACTTTTAACAGTCTTGAGAAAAGATTTTAGTAATAAATGTCAAGAAAATAAAGGCACCAATGTCCCAATTCTACTGGAGAATGCAAAAATCACAGAATCTCTCCATGCATGTGGAAGAAAACCAGGCTGGGGCTGGGACTTCTTTTTCAAACTTGCACCTAAATAAACAGATGCAATTTTTAGATGAATCACATATATGCCCTCCTCCCTCTACTTATCAAATATAACCACCTTCCTCTAGGCTGCTCTTACCAGCACCTTTCAGGGAAACTCTCAAGCAGTAAGAGATGCTGCCATCAATTACTGTGGTCAGACACCTGCTCAATATTTCAAATGTCTTAAAACAAAGAGCTGTTTGGGGCAAAAACAATTTTTTAAGCAATCAAAGTCTCACTCTGTTGCCCAGGCTGGAGTGGTGCAATGGTGAGATGGAACCAGCAGAACTCACTGAAGGCGCAAACTCCTGGGCTCAAGAGATTCTCTTGCAGCTGGGACTGTGGGTGCAAGCCACATATCTGGCTAATTTTTAACCATTTTTTTGTAGAGACAGGGTCAAATGAGACATACTTGTAAATGTGTTATAAATCCCCACAAATGATATGAAGAGTCTATTTTGGGCCGTCATCCAACACTACCCATCTGCTACCTGGTGTGTGAAAGCACTCAGAGGCTTACTTTACACCACCGAACAAGGAAAAGCTTTCACAAGTACTGGCATGCTTTGTGTATAAAGGCACAATTCATTCACATACTTTGTTCATTCTTTCACCATTTTGGAATATTCTGAGAGAACAATACCTTTCAGCTACAAAGTCACATTCATCATGAAGCTTAATTATTCTAACGTTTAAATAAATTAAGAGGCCAACCAAAGTAAACAGAAGAGCTGTAAGACACTTCCTCTACAGCAATGAAATCTGTAGCGTACATTTTCTATCGGGAAAACTTAGCTTTCGGCCAGCCTGGGGTTGAGAAAGGGGCCAGAACTGGGCATTGGGGTAGGGAGGAGGAAAGAAACCTCCAGATGCAGCAGGGAAAAAGAATAAAGGGTGGGGGCAGGCACGAGGCAGGGCCAGTCCTCCCACCTGGTGCATGGGCCTGGGAAAGCTGGCTAGGGGCAGGAGGGAGGAGCCCGAGGTTGTGGATGCCTCTGGGGTGGGGGGAGGGGTGAGAACTGGTATCAGTGTCAGCCAGAGTCGTGCCTAAGGGCAAAGAGTATCATTCATCGCCTTACCTTTGGGCATCACCTGGTCGCTGATGTGCTGCAGGTCATGGCCGTTGCCGGCTCCCAAATCCCACCGGGCAGGCTCCAAGGCAGTAGGGTCTGGCGCTTCCACCACCTCCCCCTCATTGATGTTATTGCTGCAGATCGGTTCTGCCCAGTGCACCTTGCGCTGGCTCTGCTTGGGTCTGCCATTGGGGAGCACCAAGATCCCTCTGCCTGGCCTCTGCTCCTCTCTGCCTTGGTCTGCACTTACGCTTGACACTGCCTCATAGATGTCATCGCAGCTGCCAGACACCACCCCACACAGCCAGCTCGGGCCCCAAATGAGTCTGGCACTGGTGTTGGACATGTTCCTTCTGTCTTAGCCCGCACCTTTGCTTGCCATTGCCTCATTGATGTCAGAGATGAAGGACAGATCCTCAGACAGCCTACGCAGACCTCGCCTGTGGCTGACTTTGGGGCACAAACAACTCAGCGTGTTCCCCATGGGGCACCTTGGCTCCTCTCCTGCAACTTGGACCTTCCCTTGCCTCCCAGTCTGCAGAGTTCAGCACTTCACCTCTTTCAAACACAGGCACCTGGCAGGGCCAGCCCCTGGCGATGGGGCTGCACCCCACTAACAGCTCACTTTCTGCCTCCGCTGCCTCCCCTGAGATGACTGGTCTGAAGCGAACCTGCTTGATTTAAAATGGGTCTAGATACAACAAGCCTGAGAGCTGAGATCGCGGAGTAGACAGCGCAGAGGGAGCACCTCCTTCCACTGTTTTCTAACAACTGAAGGAGGTTGCCCTACCAACCACCAGAGTTCCAACCTGGCGCCCAGGTTCCAACCAGAGGAACCAATCAGAGTCTCCTCCGCGAGGCGCCCCACCCACACTGTGATGCGGAAGCCCAGGCACTGGCTCACCAGGCCCCACTCTGTAGGCAGCCCCGCCCACACCTTTCATTTATTGCTGGCTGCTGGGAGCTTTCAGGTTTCTCCACTGTGATGATGTTCCTAGAGATCATCACCTTACAATGAATTATACCAGAATTACTGTAACCACATCTGCTTCATGCCTTATCTGGTATCCAAAGAACTTCCTTTCCCCTGTGGCCTCCAAGTTCTTACAAACTAAAAAGAAGAGAGAGTAAATTTCTGCAGTTGCTTTCAGAGAAAGCACTGCCATGAACTAAGTGTACTCTGTGATGTCAACTTACATTTTCATTACATATGTAGATTCAATACATATTTATTCAGTTTACATTTTTTAAAAATCACACACATATTCAATCAAACTAACAATAGTAGTAAAGGAAATTTTCTAAAATTTATGCACTAAGTACATCACATTTTTCTTTTTTTTTTTTTTTTTTTAAGACAGAATTTCTCTCTTGTTACCCAGGCTGGAGTGCAATGGCACGATCTCGGCTCACCACAACCTCCGCCTCCCGGGTTCAGGCAATTCTTCTGCCTCATTCTCCTGAGTAGCTGGGATTACAGGCATGTGCCACCATGGTCAGCTATTTTTTTTTTTTTTTTTTTTTTTTTAGAAGAGACAGGGTTTCACCATGTTGACCAGGATGGTCTTGATCTCTTGACCTCGTGATCCACCCACCTCGGTCTCCCAAAGTGCTGGGATTACAGGCATGAGCCACCGAACCCGGCCCCATCACATTTTTCTAATTATCACTTGGATAGAGCAACTTAGAATCTATGGTTTCAGCAAATGAAAAGGCTTATGTAAAAGAAAACTGGGCCGGTGGGGTGGCTCAATCCTGTAACTCCAGCACTTTGAGAGGCTGAGGTGAGTGAATGATGAGGTCAGAAGATCGAGATCATTCTAGCTTACACAATAAAACTCTGTCTCTACTAAAAATACAAAAAATTCACTGGGCGTGTGGCACACACCTGCTGTCCCAGCTACTCAGGAAGGCTGAAGCAAGAGAATTGCTTGAAACCAGGAGGCGGAGGTTGCAGTGAGCCAAGATCGCACCACTGTACTTCAGCATGGGTGACATAGACAGATTCCATCTGAAAAAAGAAAAACACCACATAATACAAGATTTTATGTGCCATAACCTCACTTTTGGTTGAATAACTTGAAATAAAGTGGTAAATTTTAAAAAATTAAAATATATATCCTGCATTTTATTCATTTATGTATGTCAAAAATAGTAACCTAGACTAAGATATCCAATTCAATTAGTAGATGTTTCAAGCCACAAGATTTAACAATAAACAACATTGGGTCTAGGTAACAATCCCCAGCTGGTTCAGGGAGGCTCTACCCCTGTGTGGTACTATGGTGTAAAGATAGTGTCTCTTTTAGAGAGGGCTGGCCTATCCCTGAATGTAGGATGGAGTCAGTCTCACTGCACCTTCATGACCCATTGTATGTACCACACTTTACATTTCTTTCCTAAGTTAAATACACGTCTTTTTGGGAGAAGACAGAGCACTCCATGATATTAAATACTAACCAAATAATCATACAAAGAAAAACACATAAATAATAAAAACATTCAACTGCTGAAACACAGCAACATTAAGCCACCTCAGTTTTCTTTTCCCAATGCTTGCAACACCCCCAATCCGTCATCTTATGAAAACACGGGAAACAACACATAGTATGACGTGGGGAAGTTACATCTCAACACCGTGGAAAACAGTTTTAGAGCTCAACATTAATTTCCAACAGGTATTGAGCCTAGTAGCCAGTAGCTATTTTTCCTGATCCTCTCCCTCCTTCCAATCTCCACCCTCCAGTAGGGCCCAGGGTGTGTTTTTCCCCTATATCTGTTCACATCATTTAGCTCCCACTTATAATTGAGAACATGTGGTGTTTGGTTTTCTGTTTCTGTGTTAGTTTGCTAAGGATAAAGACCTTCGGCTCCATCTAGGTTTTTGCAAAGGACGTAATATTATTCTTTTTCCTAACTGCATACCATTCCATGATGTATACATACCAAATATTCTTTATTCACTCTACCACCGATAGGCACTTAGATTGATTCCATCTTTGCTATTGTGAATAGTGCTGTAATGAATATACACGTGCATGTGTCTTTATGACTGAATGATTTATATTCCTTTGGGTATATACCCAGTAATGTGATTCGTAGCTGAATGGTAGTTCTCCTTTTAGGTCTTTGAGAAATTGTCACACAGTTTTCATCAACGGCGGAACTAATTTATCCTCCCACCAACAGGACATAGGTATTCCTTTTACTCCAAAATATTGCAGCATCTGTTATTTTTTTACTTTTTGGTAATAGCCATTCTGACTGGTGAGAGACAGCATCTCATTGTGGTTTTGATTTTTGCACTTCTCTAATGATCAGTGACATTGGGCTTTTTCTCATATGCTTCTTGGCCACATGTATGTCTTCTTTTGAAAAGTGTCTGTTCAAGGAAAATGTGGCATATATACACCATGGAATATTATGCAGCCATCAAAAACGATGAGTTTGTGACCTTTGTAGGGACATGGATGAACCTGGAGACCATCATTCTCAGCAAACTGACACAAGAACAGAAAATGAAATACCACATGTTCTCACTCATAGGCAGGTGTTGAACAATGAGAACACATGGACACAGGGAGGGGAGCACTACACACCGGGGTCTGTTGGGGGGAACAGGGGAGGGACAGCACGGGATGGGGAGTTGGGGAGAGATAGCAGGGGGAGAAATGCCAGATATAGGTGAAGGGGAGGAAGGCAGCAAATCACATTGCCACGTGTGTACCTATGCAACTATCTTGCATGTTCTTCACATGTACCCCAAAACCTAAAATGCAATAAAAAAAAACTGAACACTTTCTAGGAATATTCATTTCTTCATAATAAAATATTATAATATTTTATTGTAAAAAAAAAGAAAAGTATGACCTCTTTTCACTTTACAATGTTTGTTTTTTCTTATAAATTGGTTTATGTTTCTTATAGATGCTGAATATTAGACTTTTGTCAGCTGTGGTTTGCAAAAATATTTCTCTCATTCTGTAGGTTGTCTGTTTATTCTGTTGATAGTTTCTTTTGCTGTACAGAGCTTTTTAGTTTAATTAGGTCCCATTTGTCAATTTTTGCTTTTGGTAACTTCATCATAAAATCTTTGTCTATCTCTATGTTCAGAATGGTATTGCCTACATCGTATTCCAGGATTTTTATAGTTTTGAGTTTTACATTTAAGTCTTTATTCCATCTTGAGTTAATTTTTGTAAATGGTGTGAGGAAGGGGTCCAGTTTCAGTCTTCTACATATGGCTAGCCACTTATCCCAGCACTCTTTATTGAATAGAAAATCATTTCCCCATTGCTTGTTTTGTCAGTTTTGTCAAAGAGAAGATGTTTGTAGGTATGCAGCCTTATTTCTGGGCTCTGAATTCTGTTCTATTGGCCTATGTGTCTGTTTTTGTACCAGTACCATGCCGTTTTGGTTACTGTAGTATAGTCTGAAGTCCCCACTTTTGTTCTTTTTTATTATAATTGTCTTAACTATTCAGGCTCCTTTTGAAATTGAGATGTTGGAAACCATTCAAAATATCAAGGAATTCAGGAGCTTGTTTTTGAAAAACTTAATAAAATAGACTACGAGCTAGCCTAACAAAGAAGAAAAGAGAGAAGATCCAAATAAATACAATTAGAAACAACAAAGGGGATATCGCCACTAACCCCAAAGAAATACAAACAACATCCGGGTATATTATGAACACCTCTATGCACATAAAATCGAGAAAAATTTCATAAATTCCTAGGACATATGCACCCTACCAAGACAGAATGAAAAAGAGATTGAATCCCCAAAAAGACCAATAATGAGCTCTGAAATCAAGGCAGTAGTAGTCTATCAACCAAAAAAATCCCAGGGCTAAATGGATTCACATCTGAATTTTACCAGATGTACAAAAAAAGTTGATACAATTTCTGCTGGAACTGTTCAAAAATTGAGAAGAAACTCTTCCCTAACTCATTCTACAAGGCCAGCATTATCCTGATACCAAAACCTGGCAAAGATACAATGAAGAAAGAAGATTTCAGGCCATTATCCTAATGAACATAGATGAAAAAAATCTCAACAAAGGCCAGATGCAGCAGCTCACACCTGTAACCCCAGCACTTTGGGAGGCCAACGCAGGTGGATCACGAGGTCAGCAGATTGAAACCATCCTGGCCAACACAGTGAAACCCCTTCTCTACTAAAACACCAGAAAATTAGCTGGGCGTGGTGGCACACACCTGTAGTCCCAGCTACTCAGGAGGCTGAGGCAGGAGAATTGCTTGAAACTGGGAGGCGGAGGTTGCAGTGAGCCAAGACTGTGCCACTGCACTCCAGTCTAGCGACAAGACCGAGACTCTGTCTCAAAAAAAGAAAGAAAAAAACCTCAACAAAATACTAACAAACCATATCCAGGAACACATCAAAAAGTTAATCTACCGTGATCAAGTAAGCTTTATTCCTGCAAGGCTGGTTCAGCATATGCAAATCAATAAATGTGATTCATCACATAAATAGAACTAAAAACAAAAACCACATGATCATCTCAAAAGATGCAGAGAGGCTTTCCATAAAATTCAGCATCTATCATGTTAAAAATCCTCAAAACGCTAGGCATTGAAGAAACATATCACAAAATAGTAAGAGCCATCTATAACAAACCCACAGCCACCATCATACTGAATGGGCAAAAGCTGGAACCATTCCCCAGAGAACCAGAACAAGACTAGGATGTCAACTGTCATCCTATTCAACACAGTACAAGAAGTCCTAGCCAGAGCAACCAGGCAAGAGAAAGAAAGAAAAGCCATCCAACAAGGAGAGAGGAAGTGAAATATCTCTTTTCACAAACAATGTAACAATATGATTCCATACCTAGAAAGCCCTTCAGTCCCCGCCCAAAGGCTCCTAGGACAGATAAATAACTTCAGTTGTTTATCAAGTCTCAGGATACAAAAGCAATGTACAAAAAGTGGCATTTTTTTCTCTTCAAGGTTGTGGAGAAAAAGGAACATGTATATCCTGCAGGTGGGAGTGTAAATTAGTTCAACCATTGTCAAAAACTATGTGGCAATTCTTCAATGGCATTCCTCAGTGGCATTTCTACACACCAACAATGTCCAAGCTAAGAGCCAAATCAATTCAGCAACCCATTCGTAACAGCCACAAGAACGAAATACCTAGGAACACAACTAATCATGGAGAAGAAAGATCTCTACAGTGAGAATTATAAAACACTGCTGTAAGAAATCAGAGATGATGGCTGGTGCAGTGGCTCTCACCTGTAATCCCAGCACTCTGGGAGGCCAAGGCAGGCAGATCACCTGAGGTCAGGAGTTTGAGACCAGCCTGACCAACATGGAGAAACACCATCTCTACTAAAAATACAAAGTTAGCCAGGTGTGGTGGTGCAAACCTGTAATCCCTACTCAGCTACTCAAGAGGCTGAGGCAGGAGAATCATTTGAACCTGGGAGTTGAACATTGCAGTGAGCTGTGATCATGCCATTGCACTCCAGCCTGGGCAACAAGAGCGAAACTCCATCAGAAAGGAAGGAAGGAAAAAAGAAAGAAAGAAAGGGAGGGAAGGAAGGAAGGAAGGAAGGACGGAAGGAAGGAAGGAAGGAAGGAAGGACGGAAGGAAGTCAGAGACGATACAAACCAATGGAAACACATTCTATGCTCATGAATGGGAAGAAATAATGTTAAAACGGCCTTACTGCCCAAAGTAATTTACAGATTCAATACTATTATATCAAACTACCAAGTCATTTTTCACAGAATGAGAAAAGAAACTATTTTAAAACTTACATAAAACTGAAAAATAGTCTGAATAGCCTATTTTTAGGCTAGATATCTTAAACAAAAAGAATACAGCTGGAGGCAACACACTACCTAACTTTTCAAACTATACTGGCTAGCCATATGCAGAAGATTCGAACTGGACCACTTCCTTTTATCATATAAAAAATCAATTTAAGATGAATTAAAGACCTACATTACAAAATCTAAAACTATAAAATCCTAAACAAAAACCCACCAGGACATACCACATACCATTCTGGACATAAGCCAGAACAAATTTTCCAAGACCAAGTCTCCAAAAGCAATTGCAACAAAAACATAGACACATGGGACCTAAGTAAGCTAAAGAGATTATGCTCAGCAAAAGAAACTATCAACAGAGTAACCAGACAACCTGCAGAATGGGAGAAAAATTTTGCCAACTATGCACCTGACAAAAGCGTCATCCAGAATCTATAAAGAAATTAAACAAAATTTTAAGCAGGAAACAAACAACCCCATTAAAAAATGGACAAAAGACAAGAACAGACACTTCTCAAAAGACATTCATGCAGCCAACAAGCATATGAATAAATACTCAACTTCTCGAATCACTAATTATTAGAGAAATGCAAATCAAAACCACAATGAGGCACCATCTCACACCAATCAGAATGGCTAGTAATAAAAAGTCAGAAAGTAACAGATATTGGTAGGGTTGCAGAAAAAAGAGAAAACTTACACAGTGGGCTGGGAAAGTAAATCAATTCAGACGGTAGAAAGCAGTTTGAAGATTTCTCAAAGCACTTAAACAGAACTACCATTTGACACAGCAATCTCATTACTGGGTTTATACACAAAGGAACAGAAATCATTCTACCAAAATGACATATGTACTTGTATGTTTATCACAGCACTGTTCACAATAGAAAAGACATGGAATCAACCCAGAGGCGCATCAGTGGTGGACTAGATAAAGACGTGTAGTACATACACAATGAAACATTATGCGCCACAAAAAAGAATGAAATTATGGCTTTTGCAGCAAAATGGATGTAGCTGGAGGCTACATCTACCAAATTCACAAAGCAAATTAACACAGGAAAAGGAAACAAAAACCACATATTATCACTTGTAAGTCAGAGCTAAACACTGACTACACATGGGCAAAAAAGGGACCAATAGATACCTGTGTGAGAGGAGAGGGTGGAAAGGGGTGAGGATTGAAAAACTACCTATACCTGTCAGGTACTATGCTCACTACATCAGCGACTAAATTGTTTGGCCACCAAACCCCAGCAACAGGCAATTTACCTACATAACAAAGTTCCACTCGTGCCCCTTGAAACTAAAATAAAAACTGAAAAAGAAAAAAAAGTCAATATTATTAAGATACTTAGTAAACCACAAGTGTTTGGAAATCAAATATCAAACTTCTAAATAATTCATAAAGAAACAGCAATCGAAATGAAATTTAGACTATATTTTGAATTCAAAGACAATAAAAATCTGAAGTGCTAAAAAAAAAAAAGATAGTTTTACTCCTAAAATACACACCTAAAAACACTGAAATTTCAACAGATGGTAATTGGCATGTGATTGGATAAACTACTTCAAAGTTAATACAAAAATGAGAACCCATATAAAAATCGTTTCTTTATTCTCTGGGGAAAAAAGAAGCAAGTGAGTGGAAGTCCGCTTTTACCAGACACCAGATCATTTGACAACCCTACAGTACTGTGCTGGTGCAAAACACATCCACAGCAGTAGTGTGGCAGTCAGACATGAAATACATAGGAATTCCAGAGATGACAAATGTGGCATTTGAAATCAGTAGAGAAAAGAATTGCTTTGAGAAATTTGGGTATTATTTTAAATGTGAAAAAACAAACAATAATGAATTTCAAATAACATAAAGACTGAGACAAAAAATAAAATCTGTACTGTAAGAAACTAAATTTTACAAATAGTCATGCCTTTGATTCATGACATGAAACACAACTATCACGAAGTAAAAGAGGGACAAATTTTACTACCTAAAAACACCATTTTAGCAAACTATTGATAATATTAAAAGACAAATAACAGACTCGAAGAAAATATTTACAAGGTATATATAACAAGAAGGGAATATTCAGAATATGTAGAGGTTATTTAAATAACTTGAATCTTGCAAACCCCAGTGGAAAATGAGTTCCAAACTCTTTTGAGAATATAGATTTTTTAATAGGAAAATTCCTGGCTTTTAAATATTAATCTCTAGCCCAGTGTCTGGAACACACATAGTAACATTCACTTATAGCACATTAGGCCAGGGAAAACCTTTACTTATTGTCTGAGAAATAGATCCCTGGAAACAAGAAGGACAAATCTTTAAAGCTGTGGCTCAGCAGAGAGAGTCCACAAAATTGGACCCAGCTGCCCAGACTCCCCAAGGCTGGTCATTCTTTTTAAGGCAACAACAGAATCTATCAAGAATGTGATTCTTGCCTTTTTCAAATACATGAAGGACTAGGGCTTTAAATATAGAGAACTGGATACACTGTGCAATCCGTTCCTACGCTTTGTAAGCTCCATTCAGAACCACAGAAAGTCTGATACAATATCCTTGACCTGTGAATGTAGATGCAGTTCCCAGGAGGGCAGGAGCTGCCTTTTCATTCTTCAGCCACATCTCCATTCCTACACTATCTCGTAGAACAGAGAAGTTGCTGAATACATAGTCAAGATTTAAAAATGAAACAATTGCTCCCTACTTAAAGATGTAAAGGCTGCTTTCTTAGACAGAGAACCAGATCCCTCACATGCAGAATCATTCTCACTGAATGTCAGAATCAGAAGGGATCCTTGAAACTCTGCCATTCCTCTCTCCCATCACCCCATTTTACAGATAGGAAAACTGAGGCTTGGAGAGCTACAATAGGCCTGCCCGGGGCCTTACCAGACTTTCAGGATGGTGTCATTCCTTTCAAGGGCCTGCAGGAGGGCTTCTGCCCCTAGGTAGGTGATGCAGTTTTTGGACAACCTGGAGAAGAAGACAGAATGATGAGCTTCAAGGATTCTTGGTTTTCCTCTTGAAACTGTCCAGTTAAACAGACTTTAGGAGTTAGCCAGCCTACTGAAGCCCACCTGTCCGCTAGACATACCCCACTCATGTCTGAGATTCCCAATGAGCTCAACAACAAAGGCTCAGTCACTTCAGTGAAATGTACCCATCTCTCTTCCATTCACCAGATGAGTTTATCAACTTAAGTAGCCACTCCCTTAGGATAGTGGTTAAGTATCTGCATTTTAGTCCTAGACTTCCTGGGTTTAAATCTCATCTACACCACTTCCATTTTGCTCTCAAGCAAATGAGTCCCAATGTCCTCATTGGTAAAATGGGCCTAAAAGAGTACACATGTCATTGAGCATAAGAATTGAAATTGTGATGGCCATAAGCAGACTCCTGTTCATATCTGTCATCCTTTTGGCACAAGTCCCTGGCCACTAAGTCAGCCACCAGTGCCCCCATCATCTCCCCACACTCTGCTTGCTGGGAAGACCCTCCACTCTCTGCATACCTAAAACACTTATGCAGTACTTGGTATGGTTTGGCTGTGTCCCCACCCAAATCTCATCTTGAATTCCCACATGTTGCAGGAGGGACCAGGTGGAAGGTAATTGAATCCCATGCTGTCCTCATTATAGTAAATAAGTTCCATGAGATCTGATGGTTTTAAAAAGGGGAGTTTCCCTGCACAAGCTCTTTTCTCTTGTCTGCCACCATGTGAGATGTGTGCCTTTCAAATTCTGCCATGATTGTGAGGCCTCCCCAGCCACATGGAACTGTAAGTCCAATAAACCTCTTTCTTTCATAAAGTGCCCAGTCTTAGGTATGTCTTTATCCTCAGCGTGAAAACAGACTAATACTGTACTTAATTGATAAAAATAACCAATGAGTAGGAGTATTTCCATTTTCAGGGGAGTCTTTGAAGGCACAGAGACAGAGATCAGAGAACATATGAGGTAGCTGGCAACAGGGAGGGGAGATAGGATAGGGCCAGGGACAGCAACAAAGGAGTCACATGTTTCCCATGTTGCTCTTTTGCTTATAGCTTTGCCTACCAATAATGTCCACTCCAGGTCTTCCCCCTTTCCCACAATCTTAGCAATGTCTTACAAGCTGACCATAAGGCAACACTAATCATAATAGCCAGTAGTTGTTGAGCTTCTATTAGGTTGGTGCAAACATTACTGCAGTTTTTTCATTGTTGAAATTTGTTGTTTGATATTGGAATACATTCTTAAATAAATGTGGTTATGTTATACATTTTAATGCACATTTCCTGTTTTATTTTTTTCTAATGACTTACTACTTGCTGCTTTTTTTATATTTATTTTAGGCTATGGAACTGATGTTAGACAAAAAGCAAATTCAAGCAATTTTCTTACTCGAGTTCAAAGTGGGTCATAAAGCATCAGAGGGAACTCACAACATCAACAACCCATGTGGCCCAGGAACTGCTAACGAACATACAGTGCAGTGGTGGTTCAAGAAGCTTTGCGAAGGAGAGGAGAGCCTTGAAGATAAGGAGCATACTGGCCAGACATCCGAAGTAGACAATGAACAATTGAGAGCAATCATCAAAGCTGACCTTCTTATAACTCAACATTGATCTTCTTACTCGAGATCTTACAACTCAACGTGATCTTCTTACTTGAGAACTCAACGTCGACCATTTCATGGTCATTCAGCATTTGAAGCAAATTGGAAAAGTGAAAAAGCTTGATAAGTGGGCGCCTCATGAGCTGAGTGAAAATCAATAAAATCATCATTCTGACGTCTTGTCTTCTCTTATTCCATGCCACAACAACAAACCATTTCTTGTTCTGATTGTGACGTGTGATGAAAAGTGCATTTCATAGAACTGGCATTGATCAGCTCAGTGGT